GCTCTTGTGTCATTGACAGTTGTATAAAATCTTAAGAGACTTAAACCAACCACAAGGTGGTGAAGCAAATGAAATGTCATATGACGACAAATATAGACATTTCTCCATGGCAAAGATGAGACAAGTTTTAAATATTTACAATAACCGTAAACAAAAAGGTTTGGGAAACCACTCCCCCGAAGAAATGAAAAACAACCCTGACTTAGAGAAAGACTATATATTTAATAGTTTAGTCAAAAGAGACAAACAAGAAAGAATGCCAGGCTTCAAACTTAAGAAAGGTGACAAAGTAAAAATAGAAATACCTAAACGCGACCCATATGAAAATACTATTGACTATGACAACAATGGGAACCCGACAGGTACTCACCTTCGTGTTCGTAAAATAGAAGAAAGTATACAGAGAATATTATGAAGTTTTAGGCAAACATGGCAAAATGTACAGACTGCAAGCAGAAGAAAAACTACTATTGTCAGACCTCGTTTCAAACTTGTTAAGGTTCAAGGTGGTATACTTTCAAAGACAGTTCCTAACAAATATAAGACAACTCCTGACGAATATGCTAAAGAAGTGGAACATGACGACTAAGCAATTCTATACCATGCGTAAACTGTCATGTAAGGTGGCATATAGTCTTTACTTTGTCCCGTTGTTTGCGTATACCCTGAAACGCGATGTTGTATGGTTTCCTCCTCCTCAGTGTTACTCCAGTAACAATCTATAGCAAACTTAACGTTGTCTTTAACATCATATCCTTTACCTTTTATCATTCCTGACCAATCCAATATCTATGCTTATGCCAACCTGCTTGAGATGTACTTAAATCTATGTAGTGACTGTGTGCAGGTAGGTTTTCACCTGAAATCGTTTTACTTCCACCTGTTTCCTTTGAAGAGTTTGCACAATACAAAAACCTGTCGACTATTTGAGTCCAAGTTCCGAGACCAAGTACTACTTCTGGTCTGGTAGAGTTCATTGACGTGTAATAGAACCTATAGGATATAGTGTTTGAAGTATTTCTGTCCTTTAACGTTTGAAGCTCTTTTTGTCAGCTTTTTTATCATATAAATCTTGAGCAGTGAATTTAACTTTTTTTTCATCCTCCATGACATAGACATTTCTACATCTAATGTATCTCATCGTTGTTATGTCTTCTTCCGATGTTAAACCTTGTGGAAGTTAGGGAGGTTTCCAATCTAATACATCCCCACCAGCTCCTTTCAACCGTTCTTCAATATTTCTATACCAACAGTTGCGAAGAAATCGTGTGTATGTCCAACGTCACTTTTCCTGTTTAAGGTTTCTTGTAAGTTTGTAATATTGCAATGTATGTGTATGGTTCTTATCCGCTTTAAGGTCTAAACATCCTGAAACCCACCCTGTATTGGCTTTACCTTCTAAAATCTTCGATGTCCGTTCATTATACCATTCAACCCTTTCTTTAATTTCATTGTCTTTTTCATCCACATATTCCTTATCTGCCTTCTTCACTAACGCCACTAGCCATACAACCCCTATCTACCTTCTCCTCTAACTCACTGTTGACATATGTTTTGTCAGCTTTCTTTTCAAGGCTAAACGTTTAAGTCTGTTATTTCAGATATAGAATGTGTATGTCCAACGTCACTTTTCCTGTTTAAGGTTTTTGTAAGTTTTTGTAATATTTGCAATGGTATGTATATGAGTCTTTTTAGAATATTCGTTTTCAGCTCTTGTCACTTCACTTGACATTTTATTGTCAACATATGTTTTGTCCGCTAGTTCAGGATGAGTATGTTCTTTCGTTGCATATGTTGCATCTGCTCTGTCATGTTCTTCTTGAACTTTTTCAATGACATACTCTTTGTCAGCTTTGTTGTCAATATCTGCTTTCAAAAGAAGTTCATCTATAGGTTTCTCGTTTAAAGTTCCTTTTGTTGGATTTATACAAACAGTATGGTTCTTACTGTCTTGAAATAGAAACTCGTCTGTCATTGGGTTTAATGTCAGTTTTAAGTTTCCTTCTTTCAATGACTCAGATATCTTAGAATAGTTTGAAAAGTTTGTTGTGTTCTTATTTAGAGCTTGCAAAAATGAGTTGTCGGTTGTGTTGTATTTCTCTCATAGACGCTGTTTCATTTGACATTTTTATTCTAGATAAAATATGCTTTCAATAGAAAAAGAAAATTCAAGAGTTGCTACAACTAAACCATTAGATGAACTTTTTACTAATGTCGGTCAAAAGTTTGAGACAGAGACCGTAAAGCATGAAGGCTATCGTTTTGACTACCCCTTAAGATGGTTAAGAGACCCATCCGTCACAAAAGCTATTGGCTTTCGTAGAATGAAGTTCATTTCAGAAGCCATACATGGTTTCCCATTTACGGTCGCTTTTGAAATTCGATACTATAACAAAGAGAAACGTACGTATGAGAAATTTGAACAGGGAAAACTTTTACAAGTTAGTTTGCTTGTAAACTTAGAAACAACTCTTCAAGCTTTTCAAGAAAAAATAAACGATATCTATCTCGAATATGCAAAACAGTACAACATTGACGAAGGAGAGTACCATCTCGATATTATATATGACAGGAAAAATGCAACTGTTAAAATCAATAGAATAGAAGACCTTGGAGAAGACGTTTATATTTCTACAAAATATAACAACTTGGCATGGTATAGATTTTTGAGGATGTTAAATCAGCCTGCAGAATATCCAGTACACCCGAACTTTTATGAAGTCGAAAACCCTAATGGAACATATGAAAATGTTTTCGACTCAGATGCTATTATAGTTCATGCTTCATTTTCTGGCGCACAAAACTCTTTTTTATGCTTGGCAAATGACTTTTACGAAAAACCTACAAAGCTATATGAACCGCCGAGTGGAAGTATTTCAGACTTTCAAGTATGGTTTACAACAGATGGAAGAAAGAGAATAGTTCCATTATACCATGCGTTTTACTTAGAACTTAGTTTCATATACAACTACTATCGAACGGTAAAAATATGATTTTTTAATACGGTTGAGGTGTTGGATTTGGTTGCCAACTAGACTGTGGTGCAGGTTCAGGCTGTTGTATAACAGGAGCTTGTTCTTCTGGTTCAGGGTCTTTAGGTATAATACCAACGAACTGACCTACTCTTTTGCCAATATTTTTGACTCCGTTCCAAATTCCTCTTCCGACGGTTTTTATTCCATTCCATATACCTCTTCCAACATTTCGAAAGAAGTTTCCTATTCTTCCAAAGAAACCCATTTTACTATATGTAAAAATCTAATGTCCACCTAGTCTCTTACGTTTCCTTCTGAGTTCCATAGCATTCTTTAACTGGAGCTCATACATTCTATTTCTCCTCTGGTAGAAAACATACTCTGGGTCAACTCCTGTGTTCGCGTCATCTGCATAAAGTTGTTTATATCCCACTTCAGGGTTTGTATAAAACTCTTTCCATCTCATATTTGCATACCATGGTGGCAAACCTAACGCAGCGTCATTTGACATGGCAGTTTGCATTTGTACATCTGTTGGCACTTGACCATAGTTTGCCATTGCAGTTTGTATTCTAACTTCATTTGGAATATTCTCTGGGTTTGGTTGTCCAGGTTGCTGTGCATTCGCTAAGTTCTGTGCGTCCATTTAATATTAGATAAAAATATCTCTTACGAGTACATATACTGAACATTTGCTGGCATTGGTTCATCTTCATATTCTCTATATCTTTCTGCCACGTCAAATAAGTAAATGACACAATGGAAAAAACCTAAAACAAGTAGTCCTATTTCAAACCACATTTACTTACTAGTAAAATTTCTTTGTTATGACACTTTCTCCAGTTTATAGGACCTCTCTCATATTCTATCTTATCGTATCTAAACTCATAGTCATGTATGTCCTCTAACCATCTCATGACACTTTCCAAACCACTTTTATCGGATGTAAAGTAAAAGCATGGATGGTTATGTAAAACGTCTAAAGTTTCTAAAGAGTCTCTCAAAGTCCAGTCTACTTGGTATTGAAAATCCCATGTGTTATAGAACGGCGGGTCCACTATAAAGAAAACATTTTCCTTGTCTTTATATTTTTCATACAACTCTGTCCAATGACATCTCACAAACTCTATACCCTCAATATATTTTTCTATGTTCTCTTTGAAAACATTTGTATAGTTAAGATATAAAACTTTTGACATAAGTGTCTCAATGTCATGAACTCTTATAGAACCACTATATAATAGTCTAGCAGATATACTATCCCAGTCTATATATTCTGCTTTTTTCAAAACCTCTCTCACAATATTTTTGTTATCTAATGGTATACGTTCCATCTTACCTATAGGTATCTTTTCTTTTAACTCTTTCAATATTTTGTTTGTGTCTGGTATATGTTTGAGACGGTTCATATAGTTGTCGAAGTCATTGCATATAATCTTTGAGTCAGGAAATATTGTATGGCACAAATGAGATATATAGAAACTTCCACCGAACAAGTCTACAAATGTTAGACCATTCGGTAGTTTCTTAAGTTCTCTCAATAGAATATCTTTACATCTACTCTTATTTCCAAAGAAGGGTAACGGTGGTTTTGTAAAATTCATTTTATATATATAATAAAAATGTTTTTTCCTGAAAAGTGACAGAAAAGTGACGGGGGGCTAGAGGGCACGAAGTGCCTGGAAGCCCCACTACCTTTTTTTTTTTTTTTTTTTTTTTTTTTTTTAATACTTATAATCGAAATAATACGATCATCAAAAAATTCATCCACAAACTTTATGAACTGTGAGGAGTAGTACTTGAAAAATAATTATATGCATGCTAGTTTATACGTTCCTAATATATCAAGGGAAAATTTAGAGAAAATCCAAATGTCTATTGATTATCTTTTACCGAATGTAAAATAAACGAAGCAAAAAGAGTTGTTTGTATTTTTTAATTAAAAATGTTAACAAAATAAAGAGATTTATAAATAAGGAAAGAAAGATGAAAATAAAATATATAAGGACACGAATAGAAAGATACCTAGCAGCATCCTCCCTTCTTTTCTGCTTCAACTGGCATAGATTCTACATTGTCTTCGCCCGGTGGCAAAATAGATATGAGTGTATTTATGCATTCTACAACGTTTACGCCACTGAGTGCGGAAGTTTTGAAGTATTTGAGATTGTGTTCTTGACAATATGCTTCAATTTCACTATCTTCGACTTCTATGTCAGATTCTTTATCGCATTTGTTGCCAACGAGGGCAATAACAGCGTTAGGCGATGTCTTTGAAACAAATTCTTGCCTCCATGATTCAAGAGACTTGAAAGAGTTAATATTTGTAAGATCAAAGACAAGAATTGCTCCAACTGCACGATGATAATAAATACTATTCAAAGATCTGAATCTTTCCATGCCTGCTGTATCCCAGATTTGGATTTCTCTTGCGCCATCTTTGTATTCATAAAAACCGGCTCCAGTGGTTGGAGGAGTAACGGCATCAAAAGACTGTTTAACAATTATGTTAATTAAAGACGTCTTTCCAACAGCAGTGCTGCCAAGCATTACAACGCGTGGAATAGATGCTTTCATACCTTAGTTTTTATTTTAGCGGTTAGAAATTCTTTTTACACTTGACATTCCTCACTGTAAAGTCGGTTTTATTATAACATTTTATGACGGAATGAAATATAATTTTGAAAGAGTTTCCATGTTTCTTATTTGAAAGCATGCTCTATTTTTTCAATTGTCATTTTTTATTTTTCAGATTTCGGGATATATTTGATTCATTCTTTGATTCCTTGATTTTGACGAACATGCTGATTTTTGAGAATTAAATTTTTTTTCATAAAAAAAAGCAAATTGCATCAACAAATAACAATTAATCAACTAAACAAAGGCATATCATTGATTTCCATCAAATACCTATCCTATTACAGTATAAGTCAAATCAAAATACGCATGCATTTGCTTGATTTGATTTCAAAATCGTTATTTTCAAAATAGAGTCAGGCATAATTATATGTAAAGACGCATACTCTTCATCAAAGTCCAAGATCTTTGATATCTTCTATTTTATTTCGCACAAAATAATCATGACAAATAATACGCTTGAGGGAAGGATCCATAAGTATTCAATATTCAAATAATACAAACATATTATTATAAATCTACCGATTGATTTCCTATCATAGCTGTTCATAATGTTAATAATTTGAGATTCATATGAATTCTCTTGAACAATAGTAATTTTAAGCAGATAAAATAAATAAATATTTATCACAAATTTGAATTCTATAATATAACAATAAAGCGATTGGCACTGCATCAAAATTAACATTATTCATATCAAAAAATGAATAATTATGACTCATCTTGTTGGAGTTTCAATGAATTCAATAATTAATACTGACTGAATTTCTTATTTAATCTATCTCAGTGATTTTTTCCTAATTTGAATTGATTTTCTAAAATTATCATATTCAATTGTGATTTCGAATTAGAAGAAGATTGTATACATAATTTTATAAGCTTATAGATATAATCTGTAAAATAGATATGATTTCTCTTAGAACTCTCGCAATATCGATAAAATATGAGATGTGATAAGTGAATTTTTTATTTGTGTAATGATGACACAATTTATTTCAATCATTCGAAGTCATATTATATGCAAATTCTATAAGCAATACCAATAAAATCAATTATTCATTGTATCCTGTGAAATACATTCTTCATCAACTCTGTCGATGTTCCTAAAGGCATCCATCAGATTCAGCTATATTTCCTTTAGTAGAACTCAAAATAAGAAGTCTTCCAATTTCACAATTTTAAGGATTCTGATTTAGCATCTATATCTGCACCATGAGAATTAAGAGACTCTATAATTCCTTTATTTTCATGAAATATTGCTTGAAGAAGAGCGATTTCTCTGTTTTCATTTAGCATTTATATCTGCACCATGTGAAATGAAAAGTTCTGTTTTTTCATAGCTACGTGACATTGCTGCATTAATATCTCTACTGTATGAAATAGGTATTACACAATGGGTTATGATAAAGAGCAGAATATTTATTAACATCCATATTAGCATTTATATTTGTACCGTATGATATAAGATATTCGGCAATTTCTTTATTATTAGATTTTGCTGCATAATGAAGAGTGGTTTTTCCGTATTTTCCTTTCAAATTTATACATGAACCATATGAAATAAGAAGTTCTGCTGTTTCTTTATATTTGTTTTCTGCTGCTGCTGCAATAAAAAGAGTGGGGTTTCATCTTTATTTTTAGAATCTATATCTGCATTAAAAAGCATTGTTCAATAAACAAAGCACTGGTTAATATCTTGAATTTGATCTAAATAAACTAAAAATGCATGAGGATTATTATACTCTTTAAAATAGTCCATATCAATCTTAATGTTGTAATCATTGTCCGTTTTTAACTGAGATAATGCATTCAATAAATGAATCTCATTCTTAACAATATCCACCAATTCATGGAATTGAATTTGAAGATGGTTCTGAGTAGTATATATGGATGGGTTATGTGACTTTTTTTGTAAACGTAAGAATTCATACAATATCGAGCGATTTTGTATCATTTTTTTAACACATTAATTTTAAAATAATTTATTTATTTATTTATTTATTCTTACATAAATGACCCAACAAGTAAAACCAGATAAAATAGATTATCGAATTTTAGAGGATGGTGTTCCTTTATATTCAAAGATTTAAAGGGAAGCAATATTATAGAATTGTTAATCCTGAATACATAAAACATTTATTTAAAAAGGAAGACTGTGAATTATTAAACGTTAATGAATATGAAACCAATAAATCAAAATTGAAATATAAATATATTGGAAGTGATGAAAGATGCAAAGATAAAGATAAAGTTTATACAGTTTCATATTATGAATGGAAAACCAATAAGATAAGAAAACATTTAGGAGATTATGGTAAAAGTTCTGAATTCTTCAAATCTAGTATGTACGAGAGAGTAAAAGAAATTAGAAATAATTATTTTCATGAATAAAAAATAAACTTTAAAAATTCATGTCTTACATTTCTGAATAATTTATTTTTATTTTGTATGAAATGAGTGTCAAGACTAACGACGTTAAAAAATTAGGATTCACAAACAGGGAAATAAAGGATATATTAGAGGAGGCAGGTTATGAGGTTGATAAATATTATTTAAGAAATTGTCAAAAATTCGCGGAGTTTTTAAATGAGTTTGATTATGATGGAAAAATGAATAAAGATGATGTTATAAATTTCTTATATCCCACATCTAAAAAGGGAAAAACTAAAGAACCTGATGTTTTCCCTGAATATTATGAAGAACGGATTAAAGATGATGAATATGATGAAATTGAAAGACTGGAAAAAATAAGAGATGAAATAGATGAAAAAATTAAGGAATTAAGAGAAGTTGAAAAATATAATGAAAATGAAGTAGAGGGTTTAATGAATATCCCAGCTTCAGAATCAGCAGTTCAGAAATCTCATGAAGAAAGATATAAAAATTATGTCTTAGAATCAACACAAAATTTATTAGATGGTGATATTGACGAAACACTTTCAGAAGAAGGCACAAAATTTATTCATAAACATAAGCTTCAGTTTATTGACGATGGAGATTATCCATGTATATTACTTTCACCTCCTCTTGATTCTGAAAAATTCAAAAAAGCACTGAAAAATGTAACATATGCAACAAATACGATTAAGAAAGAAGATCATGATATTTACACAAATTATTATTTAAATAAATGCACAGGTGTTGATAAAGTTTTTGATTTATTAGATAAAATATCAAAAGAAACCATTGGAACCTATAAAATTTTGTGTGATTGTGGTTTCATTATTGAAGATACCAATAATGTTTCATATGAAAGAACAGCACCGAAGGAAGATGAAGTGGAAAGGTCTATACCATTCGTTATTAAGAATATAAAAGATATGAAAACGTATAAGCATTATATTTATTCATTTATTTCAGAAAAAATGGAAGCAACCCATAAAACATCTTCTCATCATTTTATAGCTATTCATACATTCCTTTTCAAAGTTGTGAAATTAAATAAGACAGGAATTAGATTTAATGTATCAGGGTACGCATTCTTGAGTAAATTAAAATGTATTCGTCATGTCGCAGATGATAAAAATTTATGTGTTCTTAATTCATTTTATGGACTTTAGCCCTGGACTCTCTGAGTCTCGGACTTTAAAAAAAAAATAAACTTTATTTTTTAATTTTTATTCTTACATAAATGAACAAAAATGGAACAGCTAAAATGAATGATAATCAAATAAGAGCCGAAGGTAGAAGGTTATTTAAACGCTTCTATAACATTCCTGATGGTGTTAATCCTAAAACTCGTAGAAGTTATTTAAATGAAGCCATAGATGCATATGAAGGATTTGACATTTCATCAGAAAGTGAGAGGTTAGCAAGAATGTTAAACGTTAATATTGATTTTTATTATTGTGATCCTCAACCAGAAGACGTAGACATTAACAAGGTAGACTTTCCATTAGTGGAATCAATAATGATAGATCCAGAATTTGAAACAGTAAATATTTTATTAACACAGAGTCCATGTGGAAAACTTCACGCTGACAGAATTACAGACGTTGAAGCACTCACAGGATATAAAGTTTGCCCCTTTTGCAAAGAAGAAGTATATTCTATCCGTGATGATCCAGAAAGGAAAAACCAAAGAAGATTTTTAAAACATTGTGAGAAATGTAAAGAAAATAATGGAAGATTAATTCAAGACGTTCAATTGCAAAACACACAACAACCATATGCACCACATATTACGAAACAGAAGATATATCAGTGGTTATTAGCTCACAATTTGCAGGAATATTATCAACCGACAAGATATTATATTACTTTTGACTTTGAAACATTAGAGACTAAAGAAGAATTACAACTTTCTGAGTGTGCAACTTTGAATGCTTACTTAAAACCATTCATGGTATCATCAACTGTCAAAATAAAGCCGCAAAGCGGCGAGGTCGTAGACCGTGATAAAACATTTACGAGGAATTTTTGCTTAACATCAAGTGATTCGTTCATCTCTGATTGGATTGAATTTTTATTTTCAACCTGTTCATTAGTTGCTAAATCAAATATTGAACAATATGAAGAATTAATGAATACATTAAATGAAAAACAGAAGGAAGCATTTAAAGAACTTCTAGATGAGGAATTCAATAAAGTGAATATCATAGGTTTTAATTCGGGAAAGTTTGATTTAAATTTAATTCTTCATGATTTAAACACTGCAAAATGGAAAATAAAATCAATACTGGGTTCATCTTCACAATTTAAGCAAATCATTGTAAAGAAAACAAACGTTCCATATGAATTAAGATTTATTGACATCAGAAATTATATAGCGGGTGGGACATTAGACCAATTCACTCAAGATTTCGGAAACAATAAAACACGTGTTAAATCCTTTTTCCCTTATCAATTCATCACATGGGAGAATTACGAAGAAGAATTATATAAAGTGGAACCATTCACTCAAGATTCATTTTATTCAGCATTAACTCAAGAAACTATAT